AAATTGCATTTCTGACTAACAGTCGTTCAAATGTCAGTCAGCAAATGAAACATCAAACTTTGTGAGTTGCTCTTCAACAATAATGGTAGTAAATRATTGCTATTTTTTATTGTTGTTAGGGCTACTGGGTACATGWTGTATGGAGAGCAGTACAGGGAACAGATATCAGAGACTATCAGACATGCCGCTGAACTCTGTGACTGCTTACAGTGTTTCTTTCTTATTCATTCTATGGGTGGAGGTGAGGAATTCCAACATAACTATGTCTAATTCAAACTGGTTAGAGCTGTGCTCTGGGGTCATACATGGACTGTATAGCGGCTGCCCCAGAGGTGCCTTCACATGCTTTCAGTTCGACCCCATTGAGCTGCGCCACTGTACTTGCGGTGGTGATAAGCGATGACAAGTTTTAACTATGCTYTCTCATTCACCCACTAACTCTAACATCCATCCAGTATCTAAAACCTATATCCTCTGTACTTAGTCTTGCTAAAATTCATATTTTGAACCAATCTGTTGATGTCCTAGCCAAATCCATGCTAAAAAAGTTGGACATGTGTTTTTTTTGTCTACCCTAGAACGGTGCCATTTATCCTACTATTAAGTATTGGCTGTTTCCTATAAACTTTTGTACACATTTATATCATCATTATCAGCAGCCGCACCACCATCACCATCACCACCACCACCACCTTCACTGTCATCATCATCATAATCACCATTACCATTATTATCACCCCCCAACACTAACATCACGATCATCATCAACATATAGCACCACCAACACCATCACTGACATATATCCTTACCACCACCACCATCATCACTGTCATCATCATCATCATAATCGCCAACTCCATCATCACACATTCATCTTCATCCTTACCATGTCAAGTCAAGTCAAGTTTATTTCACACAATAAATTTCAATACAAAAATATAGGAATAATTAAATAGAGTTGAACAGTTATGAAAAATACAGAATAAATATTTACAAAGCGAGATCACGTTTAGTGTGTATGGCTGTTGAAAAAGTATAAACTATCGAGTCAACAGCCATCCATCATCATCACCACCACCAGCATCTTCATCACCATCATGTAAGCAGTTTTCTGGAAAGTTTTTACTCCCTTGGTCACCACACAAATTTTTTCGTGGTACTGCTATTGTATTGCTCCAAATATTTATATACTTCAAATGATGCCATTATGCAAACATCTTATTAGCCTATAATAACTTATCAATTTTTAGTAACCTGACTATAAATTGCTTAAATTGAACAAAATCCTTAGGTACAGGTTCTGGTCTGGGTACCTATGTACTCAATCTCCTCCATGATGAATACCCAGATGTATATAGGTTCACTACTGCAGTCTACCCCTCGGCAGATGATGATGTCATCACCTCACCRTATAACAGGCTAGTAAATTAACCCTCTGCTGTATATAAAGTTCTTGTTTTGAAGTACTGTTTAATAAACGAGCAGGAGTGTTTTATCGGGTATAAAACACGAGGCGTAGCCGAGTGGTTTTAGACCCGATAAAACACGATCTGCGAGTTTATTAAACGGCTTAAAAAACTCCAGATGTATGTTCTCATACTGTACCGAATTCTTTACGAAATGAACCAAGTTTGATAGAGAAAACCCAAGTTAAAGTTTATGAAGACGAATCTATATCAGATATAAAACCTCCTTCATGGTCATGATT